TTATAACCATTTTTTTTGTACTGTCGTTTTCACATGTATTATGTAACCATATTTTTTGAACCAATTAATAGATTGTAGAACCATATTTTTTGGAATCTGTATTACATAACCATTTTCAAAACTAAAACAAAGGATTATGAAACAAAAGCAATAAAAATGGAAAGTTGTGTAGTTTGTAAATCCTGGTCATTAAGCACCTATAATTTGAACAACATTTGAAACTAATTAGGTCAATCAACAACAACTTTAAATATATAGTACAATGTTTAAAAAGAAGTAAAATGATTAATTATAAATTTCAAAGGCATATAAAACATTTACTTACTAGTTTTCTCATATCCTCTCTTCATGATCACGACGAATATATTGCACATCATCTGAATAATTTTCTTTAAATGCTTGAGGTACATGTTTTTCTAAACAAGGCGTCTCATAGTTAAAATCGTGATTTTAATTAGTACTATTGGGAAGATATTTACCTTGAAGAACAATTGACCATCTAGTGTTAAAAAGATCACTAACATAAAAAACTTATTTTACATGAGATGCCTTGATGGAAGGTTTGTTCTTATAAATTGTCTTACGAATATCAACCCTTGTGAATCCCAATTCATCGGTTTTTGCACCAGTGTTACTGCCAATCCACTTGCACTTAAATAAATGCACTTTAAAAGAAACATAGTCAATCTCCAAAATCTCCTAAATGACCCCAAAGCACGTCCTAGATGCTAGTACATAATTGTTATCGTTGGAACTAGAAAAGTACATGGATTTAATCTCAACCATAACTCCACTATTTTGCATGGTGCTATGATCATCCTTGAATTTTGTATAGAATGAATATTTAGAAATTTCGTATGGACTCCAAATAATTACAAAAAACTTAGGAATATGTGACAACCATTTGCAAAGATTCGATGCACTACTCTCTTAAGAAATACTTTCATTAAACTAATTTATGAAAGTTTTGTTATGCTCTGTCAACAACTATTTTTCATTCATCCAGAGAAATTTTTCCTTTAAAAGACTTTGGTGAGCGGTCAAGTAAGGTTGAACTTCACTAAGGTTACTCAATATATGCAAATGTTTTTGAAGAACTACATTCGGTAAAATGCCTTAACATTTAAACATTGGATACCTCTACCATCATAAAATCCACCATGACGAGACTCAGTAATTCTTATAAAGGAAGCTTTAGATAAATAGTTTGTACAAAACTCAATAGCTTCTTATGTGATGTACTTTTCTACGATCAAAGCTTTCGGACGGTGATTATTCTTAGTATACCCTTTAAAAACCTTCATGTAACGCTCTACCGGATACATCCACCATAAATAAACCGGACCATAAATTCTAATATCCCTTACTAGATGAACAACTAAGTGGATCATAATTTCAAAAAATGATGGAGGGTAAAACATCTCTAATTGGCACAAGATAACTACAACTCCGTGTTCCAAGTCATCTAAATTTCCAGGATAAATAACTTTGCAACATATAACATTAAAAAATAAGTACAATTTGGTTATATTCACCATTGTATTTCTTGGTAAAATTCTACAGATAGTCAATGGTAGAAGTTGTTGAATCAAGACATGATGACAATCATGAGATTTCAAGTCAACTAATTTGTTATCGTTCTCTGACACAAATTTCTTCACGTTTGATGAGTACCATTGGCAAACTTTGATACCCTGCAAACAATCCCAAAAATTTGTTTTTTTCTCTTTTTTAGAAAGAGCGTGACATGCTAGGCGCAAATAGATTATATTTCCTACTTCTTTTGGAGCTAACTCTTGTCGTATACCCATCACAACCATATCCTCGCGGGATTTCTTAGTATCTTTTGTATTTCCTTTAATATTGAGAAGTGTTTCAATTAGATTATCACATACATTTTTTTCCACATGCATCACATCAATGCAATGTCTTACATCAAGACTAGACCAGTATGGAAGATCAAAGAATGCTGGCCTCTTTTTCCAAATATTTTTCTCCGCAGACTTTTGTTACTTCTTTCCAAAGACAGCCTTAATGTGTTATTGCTTTCTATAAACTTCCTTCCCAATTAAGGGCTTTGGATCGATATCAAACTTCTTGTCTCCATTAAAATCCTTCTGCAATCTCTGATATAGATGATTAGATCTTAGAAATTTTTTATGCCCAAGCTAAACTGTCTTTTTTTCCTTTTTGTAATTGATGGTGACATGTATCAACTTCACGTATAGGACTACAGGGGTGTGTAGTAAGTAATTGGATTGGGCTTAGCCAGAAATCCAAATAGCATTGTGTTATGAGTGTTTTAGGGGGGTATGTTCGTTGTTGGGGGTGTATGAGAGCAATTTCAGTGGGCCAAAAGGAAACTGAGTCTGAGGCATGTATCAAAGGAAGGGAGAATAGTTCTGAAGCATCTAACATTCAACATTGTTTCTTTCATTCAAACACGTTCATGCTTCAGATTGAGCAAAAGCTTTGTCGTGCCGAAAATTTCCTACGGCGGCGGCGGAGGTCCAATCTCATTCAAACACGCGAAATGAATATGCAATGAGTTGAGAGAATTTCGTGTGATAAATGTGCAGTGAGAGAGGTAGCTTCAAAGAGATTTGTGAAGAGAGTGAGAGAAGAATTTGGATTTTATAGTGAGATTGAGAGAGGGTGAATGATTGGTGATTAGGAAATGATTGGCACTTCCTTGTGATGTGAAGATTGGGATATATATATATATATATATATATATATATATATATATATATATATATATATATATATATATATATATATATATATATATATATATATATATATATATATATATATATATATATATATATATATATATATATATATATATATATATATATATATATATATATATATATATATATATATATATATATATATATATATATATATATATATATATATATATATATATATATTGATCTTGACGGCTGATCAGAACCTGAAGTGGGCTAGAGACATCGTCTATGATGCTGGGTGAGAAATAGGGAGGGGATATACCTACAAGGCACTCCGATGCTAAAGTAAGAATTAGGAGAAAAGAGGACAAGTATAATGTATGCGTGTATTAGGATGACTATCGAATACCTGACCCTCTCGAATGAAAGGGTTTTTATAATGCCTCCAGCGCTTGGCCATTGATCCCTATTTTCGGAGCAAGAAAACCATTCACTAAAGAATAGGTAACGGCCAGAAACTAGTCGTTAAGACGGGCAGAGGTGTCCAAAACTAGTTGTTGCTACGGGCATGGGCGCAGTAACGGACACAAGCGCCGTAACTGTTTCTAGATGGTGGAACCATGTGTGACGGGCAAGAACTGCCGAGGAGAAGTAGCTGACCCTAGGGTAAATCGGCCAACCTTCCCTGGTGGAGGGGCAGAAAGGTAAATGCACCCCCAAATTGGCTGAACTTGGATAATTGGACTGTTTTGGGAGTAGAAGTGGATTGGATCATGCTTATTCATTAGGGAAGTCAGGAACATATATATATATATATATATATATATATATATATATATATATATATATATATATATATATATATATATATATATATATATATATATATATATATATATATATATATATATATATATATATATATATATATATATATATATATATATATATATATATATATATATATATATATATATATATATATATATATATATATATATATATATATATATGAGTTTGATATGTATCTGAATCGGACACTTTGGACAACAATTAGAGTAGAGTAGGATATATGCAAATCACATAAAAAGACATTCTTAATTAAAAAATTATCAGTTCGTTATTATATTATATTATTATTTTTTATTTGATAAAAATAAATGTATTAATAAAAACATGTGAAACATTATATATATATATATATATATATATATATATATATATATATATATATATATATATATATATATATATATATATATATATATATATATATATATATATATATATATATATATATATATATATATATATATATATATATATATATATATATATATATATATATATATATATATATATATATATATATATATATATATATATATATATATATATATATATATATATATATATATATATATATATATATATATATATATATATATATATATATATATATATATATATATATATATATATATATATATATATATATATATATATATATATATAATAATGAAATTTAAAAAGATACATGAAAGAACAATAATTTTGAATTCAGTCATATTAATATAAAATAATATAAATAAAAAAAATTATTTTCTAACATTTTACAATAAAATTATAATAATATTTTAAATTATTTTCGTCTTAGTGATTCTCCTCAAACGTTTTACTAACTTGTGAGTTATCAATATTATATAATTATCCAACTTAAAATTCACTAATATATATATATATATATATATATATATATATATATATATATATATATATATATATATATATATATATATATATATATATATATATATATATATATATATATATATATATATATATATATATATATATATATATATATATATATATATATATATATATATATATATATAAAGGTAGTAGATTGAAAGGTAAAAATAATGTTTCATTAAAATAATAAAGATAAAAATAAAGAAAAATTGACAAATTAAAAACTTCAAACTCAAAAACTAATTGGAATATTTTTTTTTAGAAAAAGACACAGTATAACTAAATGATAGTTTTTGAATAGAATATTTTTATTAATATGACCAAAAAAACTAGAAGTTGTTTTACCAAATAGAAGTTGATAAAAGTCTTATAATATGGTGAGTCTACAAATATAATAAAGAAAGTGAGTCTACAATTAGAAATAAAAAGCATAATATTATTATCCATTGAGCTTCCTAGAAGAAAGACTCTTTTTAATCGAAGTTTGTTCAGTATATAGTCACTCATCGCATAGGAAATTGGAACCTTTTGCTACATTGTTTCATGATGGCAAACCAGGTTGTGGAGAAAGGGTCCGATCCTCGTAGCTTGATCACATCCTTTGATTGGAGGAATTTGATCGATTCTCAATGGTAAAGTACCTTTACAACTGAATCATTTGTTAGAATCATACCATACCAACACTAGTTTCATTGCATGCATATGATTTCTTCTTCAACTTCTTTATCATGTTGCTATTATTTATGAGTTGTTTGTATCAATTGTGTGTAAAACTTTACCAAATGGGTTTCCATGTTTGTTTTAATCGACTGTTCCTCACAAAAGGAAAAGGACTGTTACTGTTTTAGAACAAGTTTGGGTAAACAAAACTTATTATACAGTGAGTTTGCGAGCAATGGTTTCTGATGCAAAAACACCACCATTTATGTGCAAGTTGGTGATGATTATATTGTTGTAAACAGGAAGGACGCAAATTATAAACAAAGAGCCATTGCAAGCCTTGTACAGGCAGTGTACTTGCTCGAGCTCGATAGACAAGAGAACAGAACTCAAGATAATTCTCCAGCTTCGCAATTTTGGATTCCCTTCAACTATAAGCCTACACAAATATTGATTGATCAAAGAGATGGATCCATTTTTGGTGCAATATTTGAGTGGGATCGGTTCGCCGCAATGTCTGACTTCAAGCTATTTAAATCAATTGGTGCCCCGAGAGCTGTTTTAGCGCTTAGAGGAACATTGATACGAGTCCCTACAGTGCGAAGAGATTTTGAAGACAATTTCCGTTTTGTTGCTTGGGAAAGCTTGAAGGACTCTGTGAGGTTTAAAGTAGCTATGGATGCGGTAAAATCGGTTTCTGAAACCTATGGAAGCAGAAATGTATACATTGCAGGGCATTCTTTAGGCGCTGGATTGGGTCTTCAGTTGGGAAAGGAATTGGCAAAGGAAAGGATTAATGTGGAAACTCATGTATTTAATCCTCCAGCGGTTTCACTTGCTATTAGTCTTGGAAATATTGGAGAAATGGCTGAGTATGTTTGGAATGGAATCAAAGATATGCTTCCTTCAGGTACCGAGGCGCAAGTCAGCAACAGTGTGGACGAGACTTACATTAGAACAACTTTAACGCAGGGTTGTTAAACTAAAATTCTTTATAACTTACATTGGTAATAATAGGAGAGCTGACATGGCATCCAAATGAACTAAAATTTAGTTCCTATTATCTATATAGTTAACGTTAACTATGTGAAACCTATTATAATATTATTTAATATTAATAAAATATTCCAAATATTCCAACAAGAATATGATATTTGAAAATAATAACGGTCCTATTATCATTTTTTACCTTCTATAAATTCTATAGAAATTTTAATTTTTTTTACACAGTTTTATTTTTAAATTTTTTTCTTTCAATTTCCAATCTTATTTATTTATCAAATGGATCTCAACCAATTGAATCCTTATTATAATTATATTCCTATAAAAATTTAATTTTTTTTATGTATTATTGTTGTGAATTTTGTATCATTTTTAATTTTATAATAAAATATATTTAATATTATTTTTAAGTTTTTAAGGTAAATTTTATTTAAAAAATTATATGTATTTTAATTAAAATAATTAAATTAATGGTAACTTGAATAAAAAATATAAAATGTAGGGTTAAGTTTTGGTTTCTTATAGACAACCACCATTAAAGTAAAAAGTACTCAAATCAATTATAAATTTTTTAAATCCTACAAATCACTTTGGGCCCACAAAAAGTATCTTAGTTTACCCATTTAGTTTACTCCCACTAAAGATGCTCTTATACGATTGAAGAAGATGATACCTCGGTTATCGTGCTTTATGGACTCTGGTTTAGGAACAAGAAGATGGGTTCCTCATATTTATGTTAACAAGAATGATTGGATCAGTTACTTTTATATTCATACCCATGGAACAAAAGAGGAGATCGGCAATGTGGAGAATGTAGATCCTACAATTGAGCAAAATAAAGCCAAGTTGTTTGTTGTCTCAATGGAAGACCAGAAGTTTCGTGAGGCTCATAGCCTGAAACAATGGTGGTCAAATGATGGTAACCACGATAACAAAGTCACAAGCATGCAACTTAAATCTTTGAACACTGGTATTATTTCTCAGGTAGTACTTTTCCATTATCCACAATCTGTTTCATTAGCCACTAGTTGCATAAATATTAGAGAAGCTTCGGATTATGTTTGGAGTATACTTAAATGCGTGCCTAGTCATATAAGTGGTAAAGCTCAAGTCAACAATGATGGAGAAGTGAGTTCAGGTATAGGTTTGGTGGGTTGGATACCCTCATTATCTGGCTTGAAAGAGAAGATGGTTGGAAAGGAGAATATGGATCCTGAAGACAGCCAAATTACTCTGAAATTGCTTATTTTCTCAAAGGAACAACTGAAATTTCTTGCAGCTCATGGCCTAGAACAATGGTGGCCAAATGCTGTAGAACTTCAGAAAACTATCTGTGATGGAAAACTCGTAAGCAGGAAAGTGAAATCTCTATACATCGGTACACCCTGGGAAGTGACAAAAGGATCAGATCTCGCTTTTATTTCACTTGCCATGCGTGTTCGAGAAAAGGAAGAGTTCATATTGAAATGTAATAGTCTTAAATCCATGCTTCCTTCATGTAATGATGCTCAAGTGTGCAGTGACGAGGATAATATTTCTGGTGTTGGTTTGAAGGGTTGGATGCCTCAATTATCTTACTTGAAGGATGCTGCTTATTGGGTGTGGAATTGTGTTCCTCATCGGTATGTTAACAAGAACTGTGGCATTGAGGAGAAGGAGGTTCACAAGAAGGAGAATGTGGATTGTGCAAATGCGAGAATAACTTCAAAGTTGTGTGTTGTTTCCAAGAAAGAGAATGTGGATTGTGCAAATGCGAGAATAACTTCAAATTTGTGAACTGTTGCATCATATGTCGTTGTTATTGGGAAAGAGGTGGTTACAGGTTCAGATGTTGGGTGCCGGTAATTGTCCCAAACTTGATGTTGAGGTTTGGAGTTCGATGTTGGGGGTCGAGGTTTGCCTAGTGAAACTCTCTTCATAGTGAAACTCTCATCATATTAAGAGCCATTACCACGTGCATATGAGTTGATGATGTTGTTGTGAGTTGCATTGCATAAATATATGCATAAAATTATGATATGGGTGAATTTTGAATACATGTTTGGTGATGTATTGTTGATATGTGCATGATTTATGATGTAGTGAAGTTACTCTGATTGTTTATGCATCATTTCTTATTTGAATGTATTCTTACCATCTTTGCTTTGATGTTGTCCACTATGGACATCTTTGAGATATTCAAGAGTATAGTTTGTTGTAGTAAGTGGAAGTTAGCTCCAGGAGTTACTTCTTTAGTTTTCGTTGCTAGAAGTCGTGCCCTGATTTTGTAATATTGGAATCGGGAACGCTATTTTATTATTATGTTTTGTTGGAGTTTAAACTTTTAATTGGTTTTATGTTGGAGTTGTTGTTGCTTATGAGAACCCTTGTTTTTGAGAATATTTTATTTAATTGGAAGTTTGAGACGTGTTGTTGACATGTGTTGTTTGACGTTACTATTTTTGCTGCAATGTTTTGTTAATTGTTAAATGATTAGAGGTTTGTCGTTGGTGACACCTTAGATTGTTGTGTAATTCTTAAACTATAAGTTTTGGGGTTTATGGTGTTACAATGAACACGAGGATAGTGATGACAATGAAAATAGTGACTTTGAAGCTAATGGTATATTATTTGATGATAGTGAGGATAAGAGGGCTCTTAGGTTGGATGATGGCTTTAATTTAATTGATAAACAATCTGAGGAAAAAAGAAAAAGGGTAAAATAAATAGCAGGGAAGCACAAGAATACTTCAAAGAAACTAAGAATTGGTGATGATATTGTAGGTTCATATAGTGGTGTTAATGATGAGATAGGCATTAATTCCAAGCCGATTGCTATGACTGTGGTGGCTACGATGGCATCTTATGATGGAATCAAGATTTCTGATATTGTTTCTGACATTAAGATTAATTTCTCTGTTGGTATAACTATCAATAGGGTGTGGAAGGCAAAGAAAGTTGCAAAAGCTTTGGTTAAAGGTGATGCAGTCAAACAATATACCATGTTGTGGAGACACTCTGCTTAATTAATGGGGTAAATTCAGGGAGAAATTGCAAAATTAATGTGAGAAGGGTTGGAGCAACAATACAAACAAGGTTTAGGAGTTTTTAATTTTGTCTGCACCTGTTCCAAATGTTGAACATGTTCCTCAGGTAACTCTGTATTTGCAATTCCAACCAATCCTAAACCAGTTGAGTTACTTAAACTAATTCAGTTTATTAGTTTCAATTGAGTTTATTGCATGTATTCTCATGTTTGTGTTATGATAGTATCTTTGTAGAAGAAGCAAGCCAGATAAAAAGTGGCAAGGAAATAGGAGTTGAGAAGAAGTGATAAAACAAGGGTTCTTAAATGCAAAAAAGCTCAAGGGAGAAGGAGGTGACCCAACATAATCATTGACATTGTAGACATTAGTGAACTTTCATATGGTTTAATATTGAGAATGAAATTGTGTGATGTATTTTTGTTATGCATTTTTGTTGGCTTTATGTATTTCTGTTATGTTGTATTTTGGGTGATGAAAAAATTGGAGACATGACCTTGTTATATAATGTATTTCTGTTTATTTTTCATTTGATGTAGTTTATGTATTTTGGATGTATTAACCATCATCATGGTTTAATAATACTTTGTATATTTTTTTTACCTTTGTTATGCCTTTTACCTCGTATCTTATTTTAGTTCATTAAAAAATAAGGATGAAAACAATAAAATCACAAACATATAGAGACGCAAATCAAAACGTCATATTCATTCATTATTTAAGCATTATAAATAGAATCAATGACGAAATTAATAAAGAGTGTTTGTCATAGGGACAAAAAACAAAAATAAATTACAGATATTCAAATGAGAATCACTATTATTTCTGGTAAGCAATGAAGAAACCACATGACACAATCAACAACAGCTTGAACAAAATGGCTTTTCTCCTTTCGTTTTCCAACTTCATCTTCATCATCTATTTCTTCCTAACTCAGGCCCCTTAACATTGTAACCTAAACCCTTCACAACCTTTGAGCAATTGCATCTACTTGAATTTTTGAGTTCACTTGATGTGTTTTGTTCAAGTTCATCATCCCATACGAATAGCTTGCTACTTGACATTAACTCATAATTTTATCATTTCTAATATCTTCGTTTAGGATTTTCGAGTGAGTTTAAGATGAACAGTTTCATTGATTTATTGCAACCACATATTAGAATTTGAAACAGATTAAAGTTAGCAGTTGAGGGAGAAGCCATTGATGAATAGAAGTATGTGTAAATGAAGAAGAAGGTAATGATAATGAAGAGAGAGAGAGAGAGAGAGAGAGAGAGAGAGAGAGAGAGAGAGAGAGAGAGAGAGAGAGAGAGAGAGAGAGAGAAGAAGAAGAAAAAGTTGCAAAATAAAATCAATTTTAAATTTGACAAAATACCCCTTTCCGTCCCTTAACTTTAGCTCGAGGTCCAGTTTGGTTCCTTATCTTTAAAAAGTGTCAAGTTGGTCCTTTAACTTTTAAAATGGTGTCATTTTAGTCCTCACCGTCAGTTGTCCCCAAACGTATGTATATTTTGTATATCTGTCAGATGACTTGGCAATTGTGTTCATCATGTTTCTTCCTTCTCCTTCCTCCTTCCGTTCACATCCCTAAATTAATCTCAATCCCAAATCCCAAATCTCTAAATTAATCTAGGTTTTTTTATTTGGCAAGCATGAAATCTGGTTGTTCCTCCTCCATTTTGAAATCGAAAAGTCGAGATTCGGATGTTTGTAGTAGGTCACGATGGAAGCTCATATGCCATTGTGGAGACATGACTGCTCTTCAAAGGGCAACTACTGTTAATAATATGGGAAAACTTTTTTGGGGTTGTCCAAATTATAAGGTATGCAAGCTGGTTTTGTTCTCTGTTGAAGTTCTGTTTTTGTTTAAGTTCTGTTTCTGTTTCTGTTTCTGTCCAAATTATAAGTTATATTTCTGTTTAAGTTTAAATTCATTATCCATCACACTCTAAACAA